GATAAAATTTCAATAAAAATTTATTTAGGTTGACCCCTTAATATAGGTTCCACAGAACGGATTTATCATAAAAAAATTATGAAAAATTATGACATAATTGACCACTTAGTGTAAACAAACTCGCTCAAAAATACTATTAACATTGATTTTGGGAGATGGATTTAATAGAAATATTATTCTCAGTTTCACTTGATTGTTTCCGCTTTGAGTGACCGTTCAATACAGGTAGAGGTCGACGCAAACAGGACGTTGGGACTCAGTAAGACGGTGACCACGACAACTTTTTAGAAGAGACCGCTTAATAGAGGCGAAATCTACCGTGATTCGGAACTTTAACAACCGACCGCAAATACCGGGCGACCGCTTAATACAGTGTCGCTTAATAATAGTTCGACTGTAATTAACAGAAACGTGAAATACGAGTCCTTAACGCGCCACTCTTTGGATTAAATAGTACCATAGCCTGGGACCCTTGATCACGTGCAGCCGATTAACGTCTTTCTTGCATATTTAACCATCCAGTTCTCTCAATGATTTTATATTTTTCCAAACAGCTTCCTGCCAAGATCCTGGCGATCCTTTACATGGTAATAAGATTGGCGACAACTTTGTTCACGGCCAAAAAGTATCATATTCTTGTAATGGAAATTACGTCTTGGAGGGTGCGCGAACGAGCACATGTTCGGACGGCCGATGGAGTGACAAGATGCCAAGTTGCCGAGGCAAGTTTTGACTTACTATCTTAACAAGTCAGACCATTTTTTTTTTATCAACACATCAATATCAAAATATGTCAGTAATCATACGGGTTTCACATGAAACTAGAGAAATCCCTTTTTGATTCCGGGGGCACCAAGCAGGAGATTAATCATCTTTATCTACCGAATGACAGTTTATCGATCGAATGACACTTTATCGACCGAATAACCTTTATCGACCAAACCGATCTAAAAACCTTTAAAAAAAAAGCAGGAGGCAATGAACCTTGAAGCAAAATCAGTATACAACTGCTCTCAGGCAATGACTGTAGGGTTTCAGTGGCAACTTCCGGTACAAGGGATGCGACTTGAACTGATAATCTGAAATTACTTTGCATGATATTATTAAAGCAAAAGAATTGTTTGGTGGTATTGATTCATCAAACAATAGATTGTAGAAAAGGACACCGTCCTCAGTATACTTAAAAAACCTTTTCTTAGTATTACCCACCCTTCTCTGATGCTGCATGGCATTTCCTAAAGTTACAGTAAAGTATAACAATGATGATAAAAAAAGATAATTTTCGGTTTTAAATCAAAATTGCTTTGACTCCATAGCACCGTGTGCCAGACCTGCCACACCCATAAACGGGAGAGTAGCAGGTGATTTCAGACATGGAAAGTCTCTAAGGTTCTTTTGTCGTTATGGCTATACAAGAGTTGGCTCCTCTCCCATCGAATGCATTGATGGAAAGTGGGACAAACCTTTTCCAGTCTGCAAAGGTTAGGAAAGCTTGATTTTTGTCTTTCCAAAAGCTAAATTGCATACTTGAATGAAAAAATTTATAGCGGCTAATATCTCTTCTTTTGTTTGCTAAAACTAAATTGCACTTTTAAGGTAATGACTACAATTCTTTTACAATCAACAAGGCATTTGTGAAACTCTGAGAAATCCCTCTAAGGGAAAAGTGCACGGGAAGAATCCTTCCGGCCGTTTCCTTGACGGAGATGTAGCAACGTTCTCTTGCGACAATGGTTATGACTTGTTTGGTAAAAAGAGAATTC